TATGGCAGAAAGTGAAGAGGAACTAAAGAGCCTCTTGATGAAAGTGAAAGAGGAGAGTGAAAAAGTTGGCTTAAAACTCAACATTCATAAAACTAAGATCATGGTCTCTGGTCCCATCACTTCATGGCAAATAGACAGGGAAACAATGGAAACAGTGACAGACTTTATTTTGGGGGGGCTCCAAAATCACTGCAGATGGTGACTGCAGCCATGAAATTAAAAGACGCTTGCTCCTTGGAGGAAAAGTTATGACCATCCTAGATAGCATATTAAAAAGCAGAGACATTACTTTGTGAACAAAGGTCCATCTAGTCAAAGCTTTGGTTTTTCTAGTAGTCATGTATGGATGTAAGAGTTGGACTATAAAGAAAGCTGAGCACAGAAGAATTGATGCTTTTGAACTGTAGTGCTGGAGAAGACTCTTGAGAGTCCCTTGGACTGCAAAGAGATCCAACCAGTTCATCCTAAAGGAGATCAGTCCAGAATATTCATTGGAAGGACTGATGCTGAAACTCCAATACTTTGGCCACCTGATGCAAAGAGCTGACTCATTTGAAAAGGCCCCAATGCTGGGAAATACTGAAGGTGGGAGAAGAAGGGGACGACAGAGGATGAGATGGTTGGACGGCATCACCGACTTAATGGACATGAGTTTGAGTAAGCTCCGGGAGCTGGTGGTGGACAAGGAGGCCTGGTGTGCTGCGATTCTGGAGTTGCAAAGAGTCGGACACGACTGAGCAACTGAATTGAACTGAAATGAAGACACAAACACACTAAGCATGATTACCTCGTGACACGAGGAAACTTCTGAGGGGGTCGTACATGTTTACTACCCTGGTGTTGTAACGGGTGTCTGTGTCAACACTTATCAAAGCTCACACTTTCTTGACACACAGGTAGGAACTGTGTGCTGTGTGCTTGGTCACTCAGTCGTGTCCGGCTTTTTGCAGACCCCTGGACTGTAGCCCGCCAGGCTCCTCTGTCCATGGAATTCTCCAGGCAAGAACACTGGAGTGGGTTGCCGTGCCCTCCTCCAGGGGATCTTCCTGACCCAGGAATCGAACCCAGGTCTTCCACATGGCAGGCAGATTCTTTGCCACCTGAGCCACCACGGAAGCCCTATACACCAGTAATGCTCTTAAAAGAAGAAAACAAAAACTGCTAATTCCCATCCATTTGACTCCTATACTTCAACTTGCAATAGTAAAAAGAGGCTTACAACCTACTACTAAAGAGGAAAAAAAAATCTCAATTTAAAACCGCTCACTATTATTTAATATTCATGGAACTTAATGAACTTAGTCTTTACATATTTCTGTCCTGGAACCCCAAGGGTCTAATGCAGGGCATTTGTCCAGAGAGTGGACATTCAGGCTTGGCACCGCTGCCCTCAGCAGAGTCTCATCCTGATCTTACCTGTACGACAGCTGTGATGGGATGGGGTGGAGAAGGACATGCACAAGGCAGACACCCCCACTCCTGCCCCCTGGGCAGCCTCTTCCTGGCTCTGTGGGCGCAGATTTCAGGCTAGCCTAAGAGAGGACTGGGGCTTTCCTGATAGCTCAGTTGGTAAACAATCTGCCTGCAATGTAGAAGACCCCAGTTCGATTCCTGGGTCAGGAAGATCTGCTGGGGAAGGGATAGGCTACCCACTCCAGTGTTCATGGGCGTCCTTGGTGGCTCAGTTGGTAAAGAATCCACTTGCAATGCAGGATCCCTGGGTTGGGACGATCCCCTGGAGAAGAGAAAGGCTACCCACTCCAGTATTCTGGCCTGGAGAATTCTGTGGACTGTGTAGTTCACGGAGTCAGCGTCCATGGGGTTGGCGACTTTCACACTTTAAGAGAGGACTGAGGGGAGAGGTGTGAAGAAAAGACTGAAACAGCAGTCATACATCAAATGCTCCAGGGATTACAGAGAAACTTCCACAAGAGGGACCGGCCAGAGGCGTGAACACTCCTCACCTTCAGCCAGAAGTGGGGAATGCATGTAAATCCATGGCTAATTCATTTCAATGTATGACAAAAACCACTGCAATGTTGTAAAGTAATTAGCCTCCAACTAATAAAAATAAATGGGAAAAAAAAACCAGAATTGGGCTTTGTCTCTTCTCCTTTGAAACTGCAGCCCTAGAGATTTATGCTCCATTTCCCACTTTCGTCCACTTTTTATCAGGAGCCTGATGGTAAGACTTCATCATTTTCCCCTTCATTCTCCTGCGGGAAAAACCATAGCCCAAGAATAGCCAAAGCAACGTGATTCCTAGGCATTGGGCCTTGGGGGTAGGGGGTGGGGCTCAGTGCTGGTAAGCTCTGGGCCCTAAGGGCATGAGCGTTCTTACTCATTGCAGAGGAGATGGAAGTTCAAGGCCAATCTGACTTAATACTGGCAAGGAGGACACATCTGTGGGCCAGACGTGGCCATGTGCCATCTGGTTTAGGATCTGTGCTACTAGGAAGGCTCTATAGTCCTCATTATCAGTCCAGAATATTCACTGGAAGGACTGATGCTGAAACTGAAACTCCTAAAGGTAATCCATCCTGAATATTCACTGGAAGGACTGATGCTGAAACTGAAACTCCAATACTTTGGCCACCTGATGCAAAGAACTGACTCCTTGGGAAAGATTCTGATGCTGGGAAAGATTGAAGGCAGGAGAAGAAGGGGACGACAGAGGGTGAGATGGTTGGATGGCATCACCGACTGGGAAAGATTGAAGGCAGGAGAAGAAGGGGACGACAGAGGATAAGATGGTTGGATGGCATCACCAACTTGATGGACATGAGTTTGAATAAGCTCCAGGAGTTGGTGATGGTCAGGGAAGCCTGGTGTGCTGCAGTCCATGGAGTCAAGTCCAAAGAGTTGGACACGACTGAGCGACTGAACTGAGCTGATTCATCTAAAACATACAAGGATCTCTTTTCTCTTCAATCCTAGTTCCTCTAATGCCAAAGAAAGAAGTACGATACACACTGGCTATTGCATTCTGACTTAGGTTACAGGTTGGGTTACTTTCCTCCCTCAAAAGTAGAGTGTAGATTTATCACCCTGGAAACAATGTAGCCAGCCTAAATAATCTCAGTTGTTCTCATCTCTCTGTTGCTGTTTTTTAAAAATTTTTTTATTTACTGAAGGGCATTTTTTTTCCTTTCCTGGAGGCAGATACAACTTTCTGACTTTTACACAGCTTCTTCATAGTAATAAAAAGTTTATTATTTTCTTAAGAAGAAGGCAAAAAAAAGATTATATAAAGCATTTAAGGGTGGAATAAACATACAAGGTGAGGATAAATTTAATCTCACAATTTACGCAGAGAACTCCAAGTCCCATTTCATCTCAGATTTGGACCTTCGTTTTCGCCCAAGTATTTGAAGTTTGCTTGTTGTTGCTTTACCATGGCACTGAATAAGGAGCAAAACTATTTTGAGTTTTTCTCCTGCTCTACATTCCTTGGGTGTGAATGATGAAATAGTTAAAGCACACACATATGCCTGCACACAGGCACACATGTACACACACAATTCAGAGGGGAAATAAACGAGTACTCTGTGAGTGTGTTAACTTCTAGACAATTGGTTGTGCTGGTTCAAGGTGCCTTCAATACTTTTGCAGAGGGGCTCTCACCCCCTCTCATAATATTTGGAAGATGCAATCCTACCCCATGACAGAAAAGTTTGTTTTGCCATGGAAAATGTCAGTCTGCATATGGACATATTTTGGATCAGACAACATGAGTTATGAAAGTTGTGAACAAACAGGATCATATGATGAATCCAAATTAACATGGAAACTGTGAAAATTAGCAGTTGATAAGCCTTGGAAACACAGATGTAATGTGTGATTGATTAAAATGGGTGAGAAAACAAAATACCAGTGAGGAAACAGTAGGAAGATTCTCTGAATTGTTTTCTCTATAGTACTAGGAGCAATTTATTCACCAGAAAATAGTCTCTGAACTTTCATGGAGAAGGTCACAAGTACCAGTGAAGTAAGATGGAAAACATTTCATCTAAACTGTGCAGCAGTTTGGAAGTCATGGCTGTTCCACTGCACACTGCTGACACTGTCTCTGCAGTGAAAATGGAAGAGTTTAAGCCCTCTGCCATTGAAAAACAACATAAAGTTAATTTTTGTTTGCCATAACACTTGTTATAGGGCTAACATGCCTCAGGGCATCCCTGGGCACAGCTAACCAAGGCTTGTCAGTAGGGCAGCTTAATCTATGTCCCTCTGGTTAGAAATTGTGAATCCCCACAAATCTGTTCTTCTGTGAGTTTAACTCTTGACAGTATGTGTAACAGCATGGAGAAAAGAAACAGACAAATCTCTGGTTGGCTTGTAAGGAGAAGAGATGACTCACAAAGGGATGAATTCTGGGTTGAGTTAGAAATGAAAACCTCTCTGAAATGCGACTGCCTTGAGAAAAAACATTTAAACAAATGAATCTGTCTGGTTCCTAGAAGTTTCTGATACTCGGTAAGCACACTGTCATGACACACACGGATCTCTAAAATTGCCCATCGGATTGCCCTGAGTTTTGCCCAGCTGTGTGAGAGACACCTTGGCAATAGAGATCCCCGAGGTATTGTCAGTCATCCGTGTCTCTGGCCAGCTTCATGACCCAGGACATCTGCGGTGCTCTGGTCGAATTTTATTTGTCATATAATGTGGTCTTTTTCATTGAGTTTGTTCCTCCCCACCCCCAACATCTGGGTCCTCTGTTTTTCATAGACTTTGATATATTTTTGTATATACTTTCTGTCCCCCTAATCAGTAATTCTGTGAACAATATCATTAATATAACTTTATCCTGCTCTTTTCCTAACTTTTGGCCTTAAGATTTCCTACTGCTATCTTTCTTCAGTAATAATAGCTACTTCTTACACAAATGCTTATGGCTCTAATTACATACAATCTTCTACAATCTTCAGTATCTGGGTCATAAACCTTTTCTTGTTAAGACTTTTCCAATTAATGATTTGAGGTCAAATGACTGCTACTTATCAGACAAAAGTTCTTTATTTCAATGCAAATAAAAGCACTTTCTAACTTGTTCTGTTTCCTTGTGAGTAACATCTGTAACTTTGTGTTTTTCCCACCAACATGTGGCACTAGATTGGTTATACACAGCTCTAGCTATGTATTTCTAGCTCTAGCTTATATTTCTTTATTGGTTCTAACAATGTCAGCTGCAATAATTCTTACATTATTGCCACCATTCTCATTGTGATCAAGCAGACAACAGTCATTTAAGTAAAAAACACTTTCTAATTTTTTTCTTATGTTGAGAATAATGTTTAAAAAATCTTCTGGAGGGAAATGTGACAAGCGTCTCCAATTGAAATGTATCTTTGCACAACAGTAAAAATTTACCACAGCAAGCCTTTTCCCCCTAAATCCTAAGTCTTCACATGCGTATTTTCACCTGCTCTGTCTCCTAAGAGGTGACTGCTGAGGAGACTCCTGGATTTTCTCAAGCTGGGAGAAGGACCTCAGTCTCTTAGACGAGCAGGCTTCACCCCTGCGTGGACGTGGCAGCTACACCCGGGCCTAACTCCCAGCTGTGCAAGCCTCCAGGCCATCATTTATCAAGTGGCACTATCACTACCTCTTTTCCCATGGGGAGCCATAGTCAGAAACGGCCATGGGCAGAGCTCATTTGCTACTCAGTCTAAAGCCCCCAAAGCCTCCTAGTACCAAGCAAGTGCCCATGTTCGGTGAGTCAGTGGTTGAATGACTGCATGCCTCGTGAGCAGATGAAGTGAGACACAAGATCTTCTTCCTGTCTTCTTTTCATAAACTCTCTAAATGGCAGGGGACACAGTAATAAGAAAATCTGAAAAACGTCTACAAAAAAGTTGGGTCTTACATATCCCAAAAGGAGAACCATAGGTCATGAGTTGTGAATCCCTACAGGTTATATTATAGTTCATGAGCTTAGGCACTTATTTTTACCAGGAAGATAGACTATTTCAGTTCTGTCAACATTGCCCTCACTGGTCGATTTATGGACACCATCTTGCTGAAAGGAAAGTGGAGAAGAAATTTTGCATCCAAATATCAAACAAGAAAAGTAGGAACTAATAATGAATTCAAATAAATCAAGGTTCTTAATAAAAACATATCCATGTATCAGTGAAAGAGGAATTTCAGACAGAGGATTATCAACCTAGAATTTACATATAAAACTCTTTATCTCCTACAAGGAATTATAAACCTCAGTCAAACAAATCTCTGTTGTTTATGCATTTATATGTCAATTCTAAGGAAAGTGAGCAGCAGGTGTACAAATGAGCCCTTTGATGTGGACAGACGGAAGATCGACAGGAGAGTCAGAGTCAGGAGAGCGGAGGCACAGGGAAAAGTCAGAGGCACGGAGCTCCAGGGAGGGGCCGTCCATCAGAAGTGCTTGGCATGGGTAGGGAATGATGCACAGCAATAAACTGTGGGGGAAATAAAGGGTGAAACATGAGCACAAACCGCCAGAACAAACGCCGCCCTCCTCAGCATCACCAAGGCCCTGGGGACTGAGCTCTGCCGAGAGTGAGTGTCAGGCAGACCACCTTACTATTGTCTCCTGCACTTTCCTTCTTGCTTTCAGAATGTATCTCCTTTATTGAAGTGCAGCTGATTTACAATGTGTATTAGTTTCAGGTGTACAACACAGTGGTTCAGTTACACATGCTGTTTGTGTTAATTGCTACTTTGTGTCTGACTCTCTGTGACCCCATGGACTGTAGCCCACCAGGCTCCTCTGTCCATGGGATTCTCCAGGCAAGAATTCTCGAGTGGGTAGCCATTCCCTTTTCCAGGGGATCCTTCCAACCCAGGGATCGAACCTGGGTCTCCTGTATTGCATGCGGATTCTTTACCATCTGAGCCACAGGGAGGCCCTCAGTTATAATATATATGTATCTATTTTTCAGATTCTTTTCCCTTATAGGTTATTATAAAATACTGAGTATTGTTGGCTCCCCGTGCTATATAGTAGGTCCCTGTTGGTTATGTGTTTTATTTATAGTACTGTGTGCATGTTAATCTTAAACTCCTACTTTATACCTCCCCCCTTCCTCTTTGGGAACCCCAAGTTTGTTTTCTATGTCTGTGGGTCTCTTTCTGTTTTGTATGTAAGTTCATGAGTATCATCCACTTCCTTCCAGTCTCTCTCTGTGTCAGTTGTTCAAAGGGCCTGTTGATTCAACACACCCGATTCTGTCCATGGAAGAGTTACATCAGCAGCTCTACACTCACTGCTGTCTTTGAGGTTGTCTAATAAAATAATTTGGATTTGATCAGAAACCTGAAAGTCCTTGCAGGCAGAGACAGTGACCAGCTGGTAGCCAATTTTTACCTCCTGGAAAGAAGTCTCAGTTGCTTTCAGAACTCCAGGGGAAAAAATAGATAACATTGCAAACCAAAGCCCTCAATCAATCAATCAATCAAACCTCAATCAATCAAACCTTGATAATGCTGATGCTAAGCAGGGCTCAAGCATGAATTCAGAAAATACTGATTGATTTACTGGGCTGGAGAAAGATCATGAAGGGCATGTGCCTGCTGACCACTGTTTTCAAGGATGAAACTTTTCCTGGGTCTTGCTATTTTCCCCAGTGAGAGACTGACCATCTGATGAAGGGCCACTGCATGGAGAATCTTTAAGGCCCTGAAGGCCTCGAAGTTTAGGGATTAAAACAGAATGGCTGTGCCTAAACACACAGCATCTCACAAAAAATCTGTATGACACTTCAGAAGACTACTGTCAGCAAGAAAATGGTGGGCTTATAATTCCTACTCATTTTTTACTAATCAAATAATGATGTTAAATAAGAGTCTTGAACCATTCTTAAAAAATCAAGCTGTCTGTTTCTTACTTCCAGGAAGAACTTAAATTTATGTGAACCCAGAAAGAAGTTCTCATAACTCTTGACATTAAAAAGGTGTTTTTTTTACGCCCAACCTGAACTTAGGCTGCAAATTAAACCTCTGAGAGACACAGACACCTATTTGATTATTTGTGTCAACTCACAGCTTGAGCAGTGACTTAGAAAAACAAAGATAATGTGGCCATCCATTTTCTGAGCTAAATTATTTTACTTCTTTTCAGTATTCCTATTTATATTTGCTATTGCTTTGTGGTGGGAGGCTGATAAATGGTTAGTCACCAGCTCTCTTCTGGAAAAAGGAAAAAGGACAGACAGACTGATAAAGTCTCACTGATATAAAGAATGGGTAGCACAAAATTTATAAGTGATAATAGAAACGACAACAGTCTTTGTTGTAAATTTTATATGACCAATTGATACACACAGAACCCTTTTATTATTTTTTGCCAAATTACTTTACCTAGAGCCAGCTTATTACTACCGTTGACAAACACATGTATTTTCCTCACCAGTGTGGATGAATCATTTCATGTTAAGGAGTAAGATGAACATGAAACCATGAAGAACTTGGCTTCTTCATCCATCATGTGAATGACTTTGCTGAGCTGAATAATGGTTCTTGAAAAATGGAAGAATCATTCTTCAGTTTTTTTGGGGGTGCTATTACTTTACACAAAGCATTGGCTTGATATGCTTTTATAATTAATCTACATTATTAACATTACCCAGGGTTGCATTGTATGCCTGGACAATTAATAGACAATAAATCCAACCCTGACATAGAACCTCTGCCAATGTCCATGGTGTAAATGCTCCTTCCTTGGTTGATTTCCAGGTCTTATCAGTCACTGAATGTGGTGTTTGGAAGTAGCATTTTCACTATCATCATATTATTAAATCATATTGATTCAATGTATATAACCTCAAGAACACAGAAATAGTAAAACATTAGTAAAATGATTAGAAAGTGCTGAGTTTTTAATATGCACCTTTGTTTTTAATATTATTTATTTGCAAGCTTACATATTTTACCTTTTAATAATTGTTTTATTTAACAACAGGCTTCCCTGGTAGCTCAGCTGGTAAAGAATCTGCCTGCAATGCAGGAGACACCAGTTCGACCCCTGGGTTGGGAAGATCCCCTGGAGAATGGAAAGGCTATCCACTCCAGTATTCTGGCCTGGAGAATTCCATGCACTGTATAGTCCATGGGGTCGCAAAGAGTCGGACATTACTGAGGGACTTTCACTTTCACTTATTTAACAACTGGCTTGCAAAACTTTTAAAATTTCAGTGATCTGCTCTCACCAGCTAGACGGCATGAGTTGGGTCTAGTGCACACCTGCGCTTCCCCGAGTTGTCACTAAGTTCTTCAGTTCTCTAAGTCAGTGACATAGCTTGGAAATAAAGGGCTAAACAAAAATTAGCAAAAGGAAATAATCTCACAGGGTTTATTTTTTAAACACTGCATGACTCTATAATGATTCTTACTGCTTCGCTTCTAAGTAGTACTCAGTCTAGTTCATATTGGATAGATTTAATACTTTTCAAGGTTCCATAATAACAGGTTACAAATTCCACCCATTTTTAAAACATATTCTGAGCAGGGACAGACTCTGCTCCCACAGTCACAGACTTCCTTCCTTGGATGAGAAGGTCACTTGCTCACTACCCAGTTCCTGTCTCCCTGGATGCTGTGCCCTTCCCATGGCAGCAGCAGCAGCAGTGTGACGGGTCCTCCTGCCACAGGAAGGAAATTAGCCAGTACACACAGGAAGGGCAAGCGTGCTCTCCTGGGCTTGCTCTGAATCCCCCCTGCCCGCAGGGTTTCAAGGGTGCTTCCATGACAAACAAGATTCCCAGAATTGTATTTGTGTCAGCAGTGTGTGTGTCTGTGTGCGCGCGTGTGCGCTGAGTTGCTCAGCTGTGTCTGACTCTTTGCGACCACTGTGGATGGCAGCCCACCAGGCTCCTCTGTCCATGGATTTTCCTGGCGAGAATCCTGGGGTGGGTTTGCCATTACCTCCTCCAGGGGATCTTCCTAACCCAGGGACTGAACCTACATCTCCTCTGTCTCTTGCATTGCAGGCAAGTTCTTTCCTGCTGAGTACCTGGGAAGCCCACTGTGTCAGGAACTGTAGAATCAACTGTTCTGTCTGGAAACAGGCCAAGTGTCTCATGTTGTTTCCAATTGTAGAGCAAGATGTTAGGTGACTCTGAAGATGACTGGTCCTATATAGGGAGACCGTCAGTGAAGCTCCTGTTCTATGCTGTGCACTTTAAGCTCAGGCCAGCTCATGGCTCTTCTCTGAGCTAGAGAAGCTCTCAGCTGGAAGCATGGGGATCTGTCCACAGCCATTCTGCCAGAAAACCACACAGCTGGACCCAAAATATGTCTAGATTTTCAGATCTGCTGAGTCACACAGCCTAAAATGCAAGTTCTTATTATTGTTATTATTAATTTTACATTGAGCAAACTCAAATCTTCTATTTGAAAATAGATACTTTATCTCTCTCATTTTATTCTCTTAATTTAGAATTTCCTAAAGTTCTTGAAAATGGAATACTTGTTCACAAAGTGAAAAACAATCAGCTTGAAACATCACAATGGTTGTCACGGTGGTGCTTTAACCTATAAATCATTTAGAACAGGAGACAATGGCTTCCTTTTCCCTCTCTGTTTTTAAAATCCTCTGCCAATTATTTTAGAAATGGATACCCAAGGAAAGGCTGATTTCTTCAAGCCTGGTGTAGGAAAATGTATAAGAAAATGACAATCACTGGACAGTAAAATTTAAAAAATATGAAACAAACTGAGGATCTGTAAATCAAATGTAAAATAAATTGAGCTCTCTATGCATTGATTTTTAAAATCCCCAGGGTCTTGTCATTGAAACAAGTAGCTACTAACTTGTTAATAACTTAATCATAACAAATACTGCAGATTTCTTAAATAGAGAATTCAGTGCAGCTAGTGGATAGACTCCACCAGCATGATCCACAATGAAGGTTCAACTAAAACTTAAGTCACAGTGTGAGCTGGTTAGTTATGGGCGGAAATCCATGTGCATAGCTATACTGGTTTAGACATGCATATGAAGCACCAATGCATGCGATTAGATATCCAAAGGTTAATATGAAAGCTTATTAATAAGAAATAAAAAGATTAAAGTGAACGGACCAAGGACTACTATTTCCTGTTGCTACAATTCTGCAAGGGAAGTTCAAACACATCACCGAAACCCTACTTGGGACGACCTTTGTGCCATGAGGCTGAGAGGTCACTTGGCTTAATCATTTTCCTCCACATATGCACCAGCATTCACCCCCTCAGACCCCACAGGCTGGCCTGACCAGGTTGCCAGGGAGAGGGTGGCAGCTTAGACCAGGCCAGGGGACCCACAATCCTGCACCAAGTGATGCAGATGCCAAGTCCACGCAGCTTCACATTTGCTCTGACTGTTCACCCTAAGTTAAATTCACCATGGAAGAGTTACTGATGCTTCCGGCAGCAGAAAGTGACTTTAAATGAAATGCAGGATTCCAAAGATGGATGGGTT